TATAAATATACAAGTTACAAGGGAGGATGAAAGGTAGAATTTCTAAGTATATATATATTTAATTTTTAAAACATTTTTCATATTTAAAACATAACATTTAGTTTAAAATAAAAGAAAGATTCTTTGTTAATAAAGAGGTTGGAAATAAATTTTTTTCATCCTTAACAGCGTTATGTTATCTAATCCACAGCTACCAGACAATATGTTTACTCTGGTACAACATAAACACGTGATATAGCCTATTTAATATTCTTGCAAAATATTCTTCAACCTGCGCCACTCACACCTTTGGGTCAGATTATCAGTTTGCATGAAGTAATGCCACAAAAAAACATGTTAAAGGAACACTGACATGAGCATTAAGACTAGTGCAGAAGTGGGGGGTCATTCCATAGGCCTGCTAACAAGTAATCTTCGGAAAACATAAGACTGTAACAAGGACTATTCAAATTAAAAGCTAGCTTAAGCTTTAGAGCTTGAATTCATTCTTATTTAGACATGCTTATTTAGACCCTTTTGAAAATGATCAAATATGGAACAAATATTCAAAGAAACATTAAATAGTTTCAAATTTATTTGATGTGACTAGGATACTGTGATTAGGTAGGAAGAAGTCCTTTTTAACGAATTTCATGATAAACAGTTTAGAGGAGGAATTTCGTGTTTGTAATTTACTGAAAATGTCATAGAAAAAAGTGAAACAAATTAGGCATAATGATAATCATTAAATCTAGATGATGAGTATATGTTGGGATTGGTCAATATTTTATTGTTTCTACCATTATGATGTTTGAAATTTTTGATTTAATAAAAAGCTAAAAAGTCAAATTGGAACAAGGAAACACAATTTTGCATGACTTCTGTGCCCACCTTCTCTCTTCTCAATGGTCTTGAGAAAATAAGCAAATTCAAAAACTGGCCTTGAATCCATAACAGGAACCACAAGTTGAAATTGGCAGTCATGCCATGCCCGGACCACCTTCCTGGCCATGGAAAAATGATTATAATTAAGTAATTGGAGATGCATTTGAAAAATTAGATGCCAAGAATTTGAAGAACATTCTGTCTCCTATGAAGTTCTCATCTGTCTCACATGCACACTGTAGATATCTGAATTCCCACACACCTCTCCCATACCTTTAAGGCTAAATTTCAAACTGTTACACACAGGCAAGAGCGGGGGTTATGGAACAGTTCACTGCAACATGGGAGGAAGCATTGTTCATTCACAACACAGGTTACTATACGTTTCTTTGAGTTACCTTGCTAATTATCAAATAACCAGCCTCCATTAAGCTGGCTTATAAAGTAGAGAGCAAGCTTCCACAAGGAGTCAGTCAAAGACAAAATATTTACACAGACATCTTTTCCAGTTGATTTTATCAACACTGAGAAAAGGGAAATGATCATAGCTAGAAGCTATTCAAAAGTGAATAAAATACTTCTTTCTGGCAGAATCTTGACTGGTATAAATTTCTAGGTAGAGTTTATATTAGTAGAAAAAATGATAGTTAAATATTTAATTTGTTTGAGAGTTGCTCCTGAGACTATTATTATGGGATCTTAAGCTTGATGCTATAAAAGTTTTATATTTTAAGAAATGTTTGATGTGTCCAACACATGTAGTAATGCTAATAGCTCCTAACTCTCTAATAGCAATCCTCATCTTTAATGTAGAGCTTGCTTCATGAGTCTTCTTGTGGAATAATATTGTGCGCAATTATCATGCATTAATACAGATACTCTTCAGGTTATAGGAAGATTAAGCTTCCCTTCAACATCCAAGTTGGTATCTGATTAAAAATTGAGCAGGACTGTTTATGGGTAGAATTATGAAGCAGGTGAGTGTGCGCTCAGTATTTTTATCTTAGTTTTTCCTTTGAAATGTAACACAAAGGAAGATAGCACACTTGTCCCCTTGTCTTTGAGTGAGGGCAGGAGCCTTACTGTTTTGTGAGTCCTTTGCTCCAAGTTGTAAAACTACCTTCTGTCATAATGATGGCCGAAACTTTAATTTTCCTTTAAGACCCATTAAAAAATAGCCTTTCATCCCTTGCCAAGATTGTGTATAGGTGGTATCCTGCTTCTTTCCATAATGTTCTACCTTGGTACTCTTGCCAGTCTGTCGTAGGTGCCAGTAGGAAATGCAGCCATTGGCTTTTCCATACATGTCAAAATAAAAGGTCAGCAGTCATTCAATGTCAAGAGCACCGAGCTAAGCATGCTCAGATTCCATATTCCGTATTGTTTACAACTCCATGAAGAAACAACTCCTTCGTGGTTCCTTTGAGTGTTGGAATGGAAATTTAAATGACCTCCACTTTTAGAACCATCCCAACTCTTTCATAGATTCCATTCCACCTTTCTCTATTTTATTAAACTATAGTCAAAGTAGTTGGAAGTTGTTGACCCATTTCAGGTACTCTGTTATATTCCGCAATATATCACCTTTGGGGATCAATCGAAATTTCTTACTTCGTACGCAACTTCCTGTAATTGAAATAGTGATTACTGTAGCCTTGCATCAGAAGACTTCTGAAAACAATTTTTTTTTTTTTTAAAGACAGGGTCTTACTATGTAGCCCAGCTTGGCCTTGAACTTACAGTGATCCAGCCTCAACCTCATGAATGCTGGGATTACAGGACTTGGAAGCAAATATTTTGACAAGAAAAAAAAATCACAATTCTATAGTTACAGCAGCAAAATCCCATGGACACAAGTCAATGTCCATCATATAATATCATTTGATCAGTACTATTTTGATTTATACACTGAGTAACTGAGAGGGTTAGAAATGAATTGGAGAAAATTCAAGTTGGAATTAGAAAGAGGTTAAGAAAAGCATACACAGATTGAAAACAGATTTCTTTTATACACCCATTTGTATTCAGACAAAAATTTTTTCAAACAGTACTGTATTAAAGAAAAAATTTTTTAAAAATTCTGTTTTTCCTAAGTGAAACTGAGTAATCTGTACCAGATTAAAGGTCATGATTATTCAAATGCCTAAACTATTTTCATGTGCTTTCTTCTTGTTTTAGTTAAGTGATTGATCAATCACCTGCAGGTATTGCTACCTCTCCCTTATTGTAAGAAATACTAGTTATTGTAACTAAAATGTACATACGTTTTACTTAACTGTCTTTAGTAATACTAAAAGTGAATGAAAAATTTTTGGACAACACGGAAACACAAGGACTGATACAGCTATGGACACAGTAACATTAACTGTCCCCACGTTTGCGTTAAAATCCCATGGAGGGATTTTAGACATAAAATTGGTTTGGATCAGTATAAAATTCAGTAACATGTGCTTGTAGTTCCTTCCAATAAATTGTCTCTCAAGAATGGTGTCAAATATAAACTCATTTATATATCTATAATTGTAAAAATCAGTTCCACTCCTTGGCATGCTGTTAAACAGTTAAAGATAAGAAAATTAGTATAGCACAATGAGTTTTTCATAAAGCTAAACTTTACTAGTTTAAAAAGTTTAAAAAATCTATAAATTTTTTAAAATTTAAAAAGTTTACTTATATTGAGTATCCAAACGTTGGAGACTATTCTATATTCTATTCTGTGACGAAAACGTTTTCTAATAGAAATAGTTAAATAAGACAAGATTTGAAAAGAAAACCAAACAATTTCCAAGATACTTTTCAAGTCGCAAAATCGTCGACACAAATACTTTTGTTAAAGTGTTTCTGAATTGAAAATATTAGAGCTTCAGAGTAAAGTTAGAAAGCATTTCTTTATCGACATAAAAGATATTTAAGGGTTTATATTAATTTTGTGACTTCAAATAAATCAGGTTAATCAACCAGAATCTGCTCTTTAGGGTTAGCTGGATTTTTTCTTTTCTTTGGGAACAGGAGATTAGTTAGAAGTCAGCTACATAACATTTGTAGCTTGACAAAGTGAGGCACTGTTTATTTCAATAAATGCGATTAACTACTTACATACATTTAAAAGTGGAGAGCTACAATGATTATATTTACCAGAAAAAGCGAAACATGTTATTAAATGCTTCTCAGTGCTTTGTCTTAAGAAGTGTCACATTTGTATTAAAGTTTATTCTATATATTTGCCTTTTGTCCATTCCAAGCCCCCCTTACAGGCTTTAGTTGAAGTTTTGTCAGTTCTGTAAATTGTCAGAAAAGATACAAAATAGGCAACGTTTTGTGCCTTTTGTTTTGCTTTTTGAATGCGGATCTGAATATATATTTTAAGTTCTCAAATCAATTTTTAGGGAAACTTTTGTTAAAAGCACCATCTGGGCGGTCTTAAAAAATAGACTTCCTCTATAAATGTAGACCCTGCCTGTTTTAGAAGATATTCTTTCTGGAAAAAGCGCAGGGAGGGGGTACTATCTCAAGAACAGAGTGCAAATTCTCCTTTCTCACAAATACCATTCTTGCAGTATCCAGTGAGAATATTTTTTGTGCCTCCCCGAGATGGGGGGGGGGGCAGTTTCGTTTATCGTGTGTTTGTCCAAACCCTAGTTTATTTCTCACGACTTCTTCATTCTTTGGGCTCTTGTGCAGCCTTCTTCCTCCTCACCAGCCTGGCCAGGGGCGCGCAGCCCAGCCCAGTTCCAGCAGCCGGCTCCCCCCATTCCCGAGCCTCGGACCCGGCTCTTCCTGCCCGGGGCTGGCAGGTCTTCGGTCCCTGGGATTCCAGGGCCGGCCTTTGCCCGGGGAGTAGCTGCATGAGGACGCCCAGACTGCTCCAGCTTCTCGGTGCCAGCTGGAGCCGGCGGGGGTCTCAGAGGCAGGAGGTTGGCGACACCCAGCCGCGCTCGCAGGGCTCCAAGGTCCGGCCCAGCTCCGGCCCAGGTCCGGCCCGGGCGCAGTGGGGGCGCTGCAGAGCCCCTGGCCCCGTGGCCTTGGGGGCGCGAGCGTAGGCGTGGCCGGGGACCCCGCGTGGTTCCCGGGGTGGAGACAGGAAGCCGGGGCGCCTCCCGGGCACCTTAACCCCAGCCTCTTGGGCTCGAACTCAGTCTCCACTCTGTCTCCGAGAGAGCATCGCAAGCGAGGAGAGCATCTGCAGGAGCTGCCCCAGGAGGACCCCAGGGTTTGCTCAGGGTCAGCGCGCTCAGGACTGAGCCAGCCTGCCCGGGCGGAGCTGGACCGTGCAGAAGGACGCTGCGGGGCGCGGGCGTCCTCCGGGTGGGGGCGGCAGGCAAGTGCACCTAACGGGGGGCCAGCTTCTGGCTCTGTCTCCCAGGGCTCCCCCCGGGAAGGCTGACCCAGACTGCAGGTGCCCGCCCGCGTCAGGAGGCTGCGGCTCCTGCAGAAGGACCCTGGCAGGCAGAGCAAGGGGCGAGGGCTGCCCTGCTCGGCTGTTCCCATGCTCCTGCCATGGCTCGCCGGACTAGGGACTGGCCTCATCTTCCTGCACTGCCTGCAGAAACTTATGTTTCCTTACTTCTGGGACGACTTCTGGTTCCTGCTGAAGGTGATAAGCTATGGCGTTCAAATGCAGATGTACAGACTGAGAGGACAGCTGGACACTGTGCTGGAGAAATTCCTGAGACATGCCAAGAGGCAGCCCCACAAACCCTTCATCATTCATGAGGGACAGATCTACACCTACCAGGATGTGGACAAAAGGAGTAACCAAGTGGCCCAGGTCTTCCTCAACCACTCCTCTCTGAAAAAGGGGAACGTCGTGGCCTTGCTGTTGAGCAACGAGCCGGACTTTGTTCACGTGTGGTTTGGCCTCGCTAAGCTGGGCTGCGTGGTGGCCTTCCTCAACTCCAACATCCGCGCCCGTTCCCTGCTGCATTGCGTGCTCACCTGCGAGCCCAGGGTCCTAGTGGTGGGCGCAGGTAGAGTATGGGGAGGGGTGGGCAAAGCCGAATGGGAAATTCTTTCTTTTTCTGTGCGAGTTCTCATATAGAATAGTGCATAGCGTGCTTTGGGGTGTGTGATTAAGAGTGAATATTAAGGATAGAGAAGAGTTTTACAATTCTATGGCCTGTGGATTAATCTTTCCCAACTCCCTTTAATCGTGGACTCTTTGGTACATTAGTGATATCAAGTTGATTTCAGAAGACTTTTATAAAATCTCAGCTTCCTACTATCTGGAGGGGGAAGGCTAGTTCCCTGCTACTGTTATCACAGTCAGTGTGAGAATGGAGTGAGAAATCTTTGTCAGCTGTAACAAATGTTTGATGAGTAAGAAAGTAATCTTGTCAATGTGGAATACTTACATTCCTCTAGGAGTAGTAACAGTATCCAGGATGGCTGTGTTTTCAGCCTAGATGTTTTCAGTCTGAAGTGCACGCATTGTAGTCTTCATATCTGCTCTTACTCTATCCTGTCTGCAAGTTTGGATTTGCCAGAGTGAGGCTGGACTCCCACCAGCCAACCAGTGGGCGGACTTCTGGCGCTACTGCGCGTGAAATTGGCAATGCACGGAAAAGCGTGACCCTTGTGCTGTAATTCTTACGAGCACCCATTGACCTTCCAGTTCAACTTGTGGCCTGATAGTGATAACTTTCTGTGATTTGTAGCAGTAGACTAAATGAGTCATACAGAATTTTGATCATATGATAAAACAATATTTGCTGATGAATGCAGATGTAAATGCAGTAGGAAAAGTGGTCAAAGTTCATTTGAGGATGTACTCTGATATTTTTCACATTATTATTCAGGCAAATAGATTGCTGAGTCTTTGCAGAAAAACACAAATTATGCTAAAAGTGATTTTTAAAAACCCCATAAATTCCTGTTAGAAGAGCAGACTAAAGTTGCTAAAAGTATCCCCAGAAAGATTTCTGTGGCCACGATGTTTAGGTCAATCTGATAAGCATCCTAAAATCTAAGAAATTACTTTGTAAGTGCTTTGGGTTAATAATTTCTCAAAATGGAGATTTCAGACTTTGCTGTTACCTGAATTATTGTAATTCTGTAGTTCTTTTGTGGCAGCTTATCTATATTTTCCAATAATTAATTGCAGTATTTGCTAGTTTTTTCATTTTTCTAATGGCAACAGTGGAATTTTTTTATATTGGAGTTTTCTTTCTTTCTTTTTTATTTTTATTTATTTATTTATTTATTTATTTATTTTTTTGTATTTTTACCGGAACCAGGGATCAAACTCACAACCACAGGCTTGCAAGGCAGGTGCTTACGCTGCTGAGCTAAATCCCCAGCTCCTATACTGGAGTTTTAAGCCAAACTATTCAGCAAATTTATTCAGTAAATAATCTGAGATATCAAATTAAACCATACTAATCATTCATTTTACCTCCAAAACATGAGTTACCTATATTTTTCAATAGTGAGGCAAGTTTATTTTGATTAGTGAGTACGATATATGTGGCAAGTTATTGAGGATTGAGCCCAGGGAGTTTGTATTGAGCTATATCCCATACCTTTTTCAGTTATATTGTTTTTTGTCTTTTGAGGCAGATCCTCATTAAGTCTCCCAGGTTCATCTTGAATGTATGATTCTCCTGTCTTGGTCTCTCAAGTGCTGAGATTACAGCATTGGAACAGGCCTGGTTCAAACTTCTTAGATTCACTTTGGATGTTTCTGATGGAGATGTACTAGAAGATCATTGTCTCCTCAAGAATAATGTGTTAGGATGGGAGGAGGAGCCAAGGGGTTGATACAGAGATAAACCAGAAGGCTCTAAATCTAACGAATGGTTTGGTGCTTCTTAACTGGTAATGCTGTTTTTAGTTTATGATACTATGTCTTTGTGTTACTCTACTAAGTTGTAAAATGATGATCATACCATCTACCCCCTCGGATAGTTCTCAGGATTCTATAATAGTAGCTTTTGCAAAGTGGCTGAGTAACTGATGTATACTAACTGGTTCCTTAGTGAATTAAAGCAACTGCTGTTATGATTATAAAGTTACCCTGAAGCTTTTGAGAAAGGATCTCATTTTGCTGCTGCTATCTAATTGGTCTATTGCTATAAGAAAACCAGTATACATTTCATTTGGAATAAAATGTTGAACACATTTTGATTTGGGAAAATTGTGTTTTTCATCAGTTATATAGAACCAATTTTAAATAGGTTTTACAGGCCATGCCAGGTAATATGCCTAATGATAGGTGAAGTGTCGGCCATTGCTGGCATCTACTGACCTTCCTAAGCAAGGGAAAGGCGTCAGCTAAGCTACCAGACGAGTGTTACGCTTGTTACTGCAATTAATAATACCCTCAGCTGTTGTCATTTACTGGCTAGTGATGAGGAAGTTTGACTATGAGTAAGGCATTCTCAAGTACAGTGTTTATATTTTGTTTTCCTGCCTTTCTCAATGCATCATATATCAAATATTTGTAATCAATAACAGATAACTAAACTTTACGAATTCTTGTTACTCTAATCTCTTTTGTTTTAGCTTTTCCAATACTTGGGATTGAACTCAGAGCCTTTACATGGAGCTAAATTCCTGATAATTTTTCTTTTTAAACAAGCCCTCACTAAATCACTAAATTGCCTAGGCTGAGCTCAGTCAAGCCTCAGGCTCTCAGAGGATTGAGATTACAGGTTTGTGCCACTGTGTCTTTCTAGATTTAATAATATTTTGTGTGTGAACCTACGTTAGGAATTTTAGATTTCTCTTCTTAAGAAATGAAACCTTCTATCTTCTCCCTATATACACAGTAATGTGTAAAGCTGTTCTCTTTCCTGAACAATCGCAGTCAGAATGCAGGTCAAAGGTTCTGGTTAACAATGGGGCCATTGTAATTCTCCAGATGACTTTCAGCCATAAAGGCAACTGCTTTTTAAAGATCAAAAGGAAAAGTTGCAAAAATAAAGACACTTTAAGTTTTATAAAAAGTAGTTTGTTTTGAGATACACAAATGCCTCCTGTGAACCACTTATTATCATATCCATGGACTGCAATATCCTTACATATACCTGTTTCTCAGCATTTAATCATCTTCACTTGTATTTATTAAGATGGCCAGTTTGCTTTTTTTCCACCTTAGGTTTAGGTCAATTGAGGATTATTTCTGCTTTATAAGAAGGCAATTGATTTCAGTAATTAAAAAGTACAGGGTGATCACAAAACTAAATACAGAACTGAATACAGCAGAGCGACTGAGACCTACAATTCATGAGTGAAAAAAGAGGGGAATAGTCAATAAATTGTATTGAGAAAACTGAAAATAACTATGGCAATATAGGCGTCATGGTTGGGATTCAAAAATCTCATGCACTCATAGGTGGAGGTTTCGGAATGTCAGTGAGTCATAGGGACCCTACAGCTGACTGCTGTTAGGAGATGGGATCTGTTCAGACGAGGCTGGGCATTGGGGCCATGACCTTGGAGGATCATTGCCTCTCCCTGGCTTCTCCATTCTGCCTGTGTTTCCTGATCACCATGATTTAAGCTGCTTCTCCTCTACCAGACCCCTTCCCTATGCCTTCCTGCTTTGAAGCCACCCTGCTGTGGACTGAGAGCTGTAAAACATGTGGGTCATAATAAACCTTTCCTCCTTTAAATTGTGGTATGAGTGTTAGGTTTTGTGTCCCAGTAACAATATGGTGGCTGAAGCAACAGGTCTTAAAACATTAGAGAATGGATTTTTGTAGCCCAATATACCTGATGTGTAACAAAAGCCCTATCATTTATTAACTTAGGCAGGTCAGACAGTTTAAACTACCAATGGCCTTCAAACCTCATGTTTAATCTTTTTAAGTAGAGATAACGTACACTTCCTACAATTATCTTGATTACTAATAAAGCAATGCTTACAAAAGTGATTGACACATCATTCAAGATAAAGTGAGCTTAGATGAAAGATTAAGCTCTGTACATCAATATGAATTGCATCAGAATGTTGCTTATTTAAGTGTCAGTTTTCTTAGAAACCTTAACCTACCTGTTGCATTGTTCTACATGAGATTTTATATATATATACATATATATGGAATGAAATCCATAATTTCACTTTGTATATTTTGTGAATGTTCTGTTAGTCTCAAGTTCACCATTTGTAACTGATCTTCATGTTAGGTTTGTTAGGTTTGTTAACACAGAACTCTGGGGCTTTGCATTTGCTTGTGCTGGTGATCAAACCCAGGGCCGCACACATGCTAAGCACAGTTCTACTACTGTGCTATACCCTAGCCCTATATAAAAGGTTAGAGTTGAAATATTTACAAATATCAAGAGCCACAATTAATTCATCCCCTATTTATACATTTGAAAGCATTAGTTTGTTTTATACAGAATAACATAATAATACAATGTCTTCAATGCAGAATTAATAGCATAATTCACATTAGTGACATATTGGAAGGATATGTGAAATTTTTACTTGCTGATTTTACAGTCTCAGAAATGTGAGCAGGAGAAATTCATTATAAAGAGACAAAAAGTCAGTTTGTACAAAAAGTTTTAAAGTATCCCAGGCAGGAAGTGATAATTTGCCTGTATTGGTGCAAGCAATGCCATTTAGTTGTTTTGAATATGGGGAGAAGCACAAAGTTTTTGAAAGAACATGGAACTTTTAAAAGGGACACTGAGTCTTCTCCTACAATGTAGACAGGGGTAGTCACAGGAAATCTAGCTACTGCATTTTCTGGTAGCAGTTTACAATATGACCAGTTTTTTGTGGGTCCCCTGGTGCATAGCTTAGTTCCTTCAGCCAGCTGTCTATGCCTCCCTCAAGGTTTGTGTCACTTTCAAGCAGCTGATAGACACGCACAGGCCTTACAAGATCCTCACATCACTATAGGCTTCTGGTTCAGGATGTTTCGCTGAAAAGTAAGTCCATACAAAACAGAGCTAAAACTACTTGAAGTACTTAAATAAATGCTATTTGGTATCAGAACTTACAGAACTTAGTATTCAGAAGTCACTTTCAACAAAATGAAGAATAACTTTTTTTTTTTTGCTAAGAAAGATTGCCAGCAAAAAATAAGTAAGTCCCACTACATGACTTTTCAAAGTTTTGTTGCAGTTTTTAACTATCCTCACTCACATTTTTCACCATTAGTGAAGTGAAGAAATGATTTGGATAGAAAGAGTTCTGCTTGAGGCTTCTGCTTCAGCTAAACTGACTAGATTTTTAGGAAATGAAATCCTATTTTTTTCTGATTTCTGCTTACTTCCTTTTTAATGAAATATTGTAACTCCTTAAATCCTTACTGTTTCTCAGACTTTAAAATTCCAACAAAACATAGAGTCACAATCATAGTGTAACTTTTTGTCCTTTTTTCCAAATTTAGGGATACGGGTTAAAAGAACATATACAATTTTGTTGTTAATTTATAACCCCAGATAACATTTGAAATTAAGTTAAATAAAAGAAATCAGTTCACAGCCTTGTACTTGTCAGTTCAAAATGAAAAAAAAAAAAAAAAGCCGTTGAAACAAAATTTAGAACTAACATAAAAAAAAAAAAATCTGAGTCCTTTTTCTTTGTTTTTCATGCGCTTATGAGTTGTCTTTCCTTTTAGCTTTCCGGTGGGTTTTAACTTCTCCTTTTCAAAGCAACGTGTGCATGGCAGCTGGTGGGCAGCTGGTAGAATAAAGTATTTGCTATGCATTCTTAAATTTTGTTTTATTTGAACTTGTTTTAGAAATAAAAATTAGTAGACATTTTAAGTCTCAAATCCTCCTGACAATCCTGTCATATATTAATTTTGTATTATTTCTGTGTTTCCTTCCAGTATCTTGTGGATTTTAATTGAGAACTGACTATTCACATTTGATATTTATATCTTGTTGCTTTTTTATGATCAGTTTGAATTACAGATTTTTTGTTTTGCTTTAAAATGAAAAAAAAAGAATAAAAATGATACAAAATTCCACAACAAAATAATAGATTGACACTGGTTAATATATTGCATATTGTTATCTTCAAAGTAGCTGTTCAGATTACAAGACATAAGCATGAAAAAAGTATTCAAACAATGAAAGCACCAAGTGTGCTTTTTGATGAACAGAGACTAGTAGTACAGTTATCCATCTTGTATATATATACATTTTTTATTGTGAATATGAGTTTTCGCGAAATGTATTACATTATTAAGAAATAATTAGTGAGGAACAGATGCCTTTTTGAGATAAAAAATAATGATTTATACTTCCAGCAAATGTATTATGCAACTCTCCAAATTCAGATTCAAAGTAACATGTAGCTTGTTATTATTATTAAAGTTTTAATTAAAAATAGAGACAATAATTGCTTTAGATGTAAAGTTCCTCATTTGCATGAATTGAGCATTCTGATGTCTGTTTTACATTTAATAATGTCATTTTCTTTTATCAGATCATATGTGGTTTTAAAAGTTCAATAGATTTTGGTCAGATTAACAGCTCTACTGTAAGCCAACTTTTTATCTTAGTGTATTAGGTTTCTTCGAGCTGCTTTAATAAAGCACCAAGACCTAAAGGGCTTAAACAAGAGCGATGTGTTCTCTCAGTTCTGGAACTAGAAGTCCAAAATGTAAGTAGCAGCCTGACTGCTCTACAGGTTGCCAGTTTTTTAAGATATGTAAAGTAGTATATTATAGGAACGTGGATATGAAACTGGAGTAGGCACGTAGAATATATAATTTGAACTCCAGATAAAAGATTTTTGCTAAAGGCAGTGTTACATTTAAAAACATTGCAAAACATGTAGATAATTTTATCTTTTTACTCTGGAAAAAGCATATATGCCTCACTCAATTACACAAAAGACCTCACAGAGCAATGACGTTTTGTTTCTTTTGCATCCCATCAGTCACTGGGCACTTGCTATGTAACATTTCATCAACAGAGACTCACTTCTGCCTTTTAATAAAATTACTTACTTTGTTAATCCTCATAAGTACATGATGTTCGCTTCTACTTTAATGGTCAAATAATGGAGACCTAGTTCAGTCTCTCAGAATAACTCAACAGGTTCTCTCCTCTGAGGGTGCTTTTTTTGTTATCCTGGCAACAGGTACTTTTTCAGAAAAGTATCCTTTTCCTTCCTGAACAAGAACTTCAACTCGGAATCTTGATCTTTTCAGCCTCCAAAGACTGAACGCTTCAGTTCTTCCAGGTTTTCTATTCCTTCTTCTACACCTGATTTTGCTTCTGCTGGGAGCTTTGCATCCTCCTGCTGCTGGAGCGTCCACGCTTCTCTGCCCACTCAACTGCTTGTGTCACCTTTTCTCCTGCATGGAGCACTCTGTTGCCTTTTTCGAAGGTGTTTGATTCCTTGGGCTTTCAAAGGCTTTTATCATTAAATATGATGGTGCAGAGAGGGGAAAAAAAAAGACTTCTCTAAGTCTCTTCACTTAGCTTTTGGCTCCAAACTCGTTTTTAAACCACAATGATGTGACTCCAGAAAAGTCAGGGCATTTTCCCACATGTATTTCATTATGGGAGACCAGCACAGTGAGACACGTGGTGTTTTGGAATAACTAGTTACCAAGTTGTATTTCAAGGAAAATATCTAGTGCATTTGAAAAAGAGAATATAATAAATGACTTCATTTAGCATTTAGAAAATTCATCATTTATATGAAAATCTCCAAAATTGCCTCTGAATTGATCTACTCAAATTTTTCAATCAGGTGGTAACTAAATTTTCCATCTCTTAGTTCTGCTGAAAAAGAACCACGAAACAGTCGTGGTATTACTCATCCAGTATGGGAAGGAAAGTCAGCATGTCATTTATAATTTATCTCTATTCCAAAACACAAAAGCAAATCCAGGATAAATGACTACAGGTTTACATTTTGTTTACCTTAGTCTAATCCTTTATTTCAGATTTGCTTGGAACGATAGAAGAAATCCTTGCCAGCCTCCCCAAAGATGTCAGCATTTGGGCGCTGAAAGATTCTGTTCCACAAGGAGTAATTTCACTCAAACAAAAACTAAGCACAGCGTCTGAAGAGCCTGTGTCGCGCAGCCACTATGCTGTCTCAAGCCTCAAGTCTACTTGTCTGTATATTTTTACCTCTGGAACAACAGGTATGTTTCAGTTTCTTTTAAGGTACAAAGAGGATACAACACACTCTATGTTGCTAGTGACTAAAATATGAGAAATCATACAAGCGAGAGCATATTTTGATGAGCCCTTCTTTTTTTTAATTTTTATTTTAAAGAGATTAAAACCAACCAAAATAAAACAGAGCAAAGCCAATTGAAACAAATCAGTGTAAGTGACATAGGAGTTCAAAACAATACAAAATCAACAACAGTTACCATAATGCCTCCTGCTGTCTTCAAAATAGCTGCAGATACTTTCAGACATAGTAAAGAACAAAATAGAACAGAATAGAACCAATAAAAACAAAACAATGAATGCAATAAAGGACTTCAAAACAAGATAATAGTAAATCCAAAATGGATACTATAATATATCTTGCTATCTTTGAAATAGTTGCTCTTGCCATCAGATACAATAAAATCAACCAAAACAGATCAAAACCCAACAAAACAATGAAAAATGACACACAACTTCAAAGCATGGCAATAGGGAATTAACAATGGCCACCACCCTCAGAAAGAGATCCCACATAGATGATACACTGCATATTACCATCCTCCGAATTGATCAGGCTACCGGCTTTAGACCTGCAAGATCAATGAAACCCTAAACACTACAGGCATTAGATTGTACTCCACTCAACAGCCATCATTGAAGCCTGTGTTTCTCCACACAGCCGGTCATTTACTGCAGGGTGAGGGCGGGGGTAACTCTTCCTGCTTCACAGCCTGTATGCCAGAAGGGCTGGCATCTGGCTCTCCCTGCAGCGGCCCACACATGGTGCTGATTCCCAGGGAGGGCTTGCTTCTTGGTGAATTCTTGTTCCTTCCTCCACAGTCCACAAATGGCACAGACTCACAGTGAAAGGCTGGCGTCTGGCTATCTCCCCAATCACTGTTTTTTTTAAAGATTAAGATAAAAGAGGACATAACAGCACAGGTCAGAACAGAACAATTTAAGCAACATAGTGATTCACCACAAAACAATCCGAAATAGCAGTAGCTACCGTAGTGTCCCTTTCCTTGAAATGTTTGAGTATACCTTCACATACTATAGTATCAAACATAAAAAGACAGTGTAAAGTCATTCAGGAGAATGAAAATATTACAGGGTATTCAGAACCGAATAACAGAAAGTGAACAAAGGTTACTACATTATCTCCTTGTCTATAAAATATTTCATTTATACTATCACATATAATAAAATCCAATAAGATACAACATGATAAAACCGATGGAGACAGAAGAACAAAAGCTTGGTGGTGCTTCAAAGCAAGATGATATTAAATCAGCACTAGCTATTATAATGTCTTGTTTTCTTTAAAATAGCTTTTCATACCCTCAATAAAATAAAATCAATAAAATCAAACAACCTAGAATAAAACTATTCCAATTAATAAGTGAAATCATTATAAAGCTTCAAAGCAATATAATGGGGAATCATGATTGCCACATATTTTATGTATTCTTACCATTTCTTACACTAGGGAAACTCTTCAGTATTTATACATGTCAGTTTGATTTATTTCGCTTATGAGTATGGTCTCAAGCTGCATTCATTTATTTTTAAATATCTCAATCTAATCATTCTTTACAGCTGAGTAGTATTCCATTGTATAAAACACACATCTTTTTTATCCATTCCTCAGTTGATGGACACTTAGGTTGTTTCCGACATCTGGCTATTGCAAATTGTGCTGCTATAAACATGGGTGCACATATATCATGTGGTAAGATGTTTTCAGTTCTTCTGGGAATAAGCCTAGAAGTGAAATAGCTGGGTTGGATGGGACTTCTAATACCAGCTTTCTGAGATATCTCCAGACTGACCTCCACAACAGTTGCACCAGTCTACACTCCCACCAGCAGTGTAGAAGAGTTCCTTTTTCCCCACAGCCTCTCCAGCATTTGTTGTTGGTAGTTTTCTTGATCCTGGCCATTCTTTCTGGAGTGAGATAGAATCTCAGTGTTGTTTTAATTTGCATTTCTCTAATGACCAGTGATGATGAACATTTTTTCATGTATTTATTTGCCATTTGTATTTCTTCATCTGAGAATTGTGTATTCATCTCAGATGCCCATTTTTGGATTGGATCCTTGAATTTTGGTGGTCTGATTTTTAAAAATTCTTCATATGTTTTAGACAGAAATCCTCTGTGTGAGGGACAATTCACTAAGACTGTTTCCCAGTTTGTAGGTTTTCTTTTCACTCTGCTAAAGATTTCTTTTGACGTGCCGAAACTTTTTAATACGAGGTAATTCCAGTTGTTGATTCTGGGAAGTATCCCGTGTGGTTTGGTTCCGGTTCATGAATTCTCTACCTACCCCTATGTCTTCAAGATTTTTATCCAACTTGTCTTCCATTGATTTAGATTTTCTGTTTTAATATTCAGATTTTGATCCATTTAGATTTTAATTTAGTACGTTGTGATAGGCATGAGTCTAGTCTGAGTTTCAGCATATGGAGAGCCAGTTTTTCCAACACCATTTATTAAAGAGACTGTCGTTCTTCCAGTGAACATATTTGGTGCCTTTATTAAAGATAAGGAGGTTGAGTGTGTTTGTAGTTGTGGTTATATCTTCTAATCTATTCCATTGATCTTTGGCTCTGTTTTTATTCCAGTACTGTGTTGATTTTACTACAGTTGCTTTGTAGTATAAAGCTTTGTAGTTCAAGTCAGGGATTGTGATGCCTCCTGCCTTGTCTTTGCTATTCTAGGTCTCTTCTGGTTCCAGATGAATTTTAGGAGTGATTTCTCTAGATCTGTGAAGTATGTTGATGTATTTTTATTGGGACTGCATCTTAACCAGATGCTTTCTTCCTACCCTTTCAGCCTGAGCAGCTGCTCCTCTGCTGTTCTGGGTTCATAGGTTACTGTCATTTTTGAAATTTGCTTCAACAGTCTTCTTTGTTGAATCCTCTAATTTCTAAGTTCAAACTTGGTTTACTTTTTGTCAGTTCACTTCTTTCGCTAGATGTCTGATAAATACTACATGGAAAATAATGTTTTAGGTCTTCACAGGTCTGAAAGTGACTTTTTTCTGTTCTTGCTTGTGAGTGACACTTCATAGAATTAGAAATTAGAAATTATTTTTGTGGGGGATTTTGAAGGCATGCTCTATTTTCTTTAGATTTCCACTATATATACTGAGAAGAATTTTTACTTTCTAATTTCTTGTCCTTTATGTAATCTGTGTTCCTTCCCCCACCTTTTTGAAATGTTAGAATCTTTTATGAGTTTTCAGCAACTATAACAGTCAATAATGTATTGGGATTTGTTTTATTTTTTCATTGTTCTGAGAAACTTACAAGACTTTTCAGTCTAGAAACTCATGCTGTAAAGTATTTGTTTAAATTAATATTTTTGTACATCTCTTTCTCTTTCCTTTTTTATTTTATTCCCTATTACATTTACTTATTTGTTTACTTTGTCTTGGTATATGCTTTCAATATGTAGTAAATAGATTCATGACAGGGAATTGACAGACATACATCTTATATCTTGATTCTTTTTATTTCATCTTCTCTTCCTCTCCTTTTCATCTCCCTCCGTCCTAGGAACCCTTCCAATCTCTGCGTTGAAACGATAATATTTTCAAAGATTAGCTCTTTAAGATTGAGTCTATAATTTCCTAATCTTTTCTATTTTTCATCTTCTGTCCTTTGAATTACTTTTTGAAAGGTTAACTTCCAACTTTTATGTTCTCTGTGTAGTGTTTGGAAGTATATTTCACATTCTTGAAACTTTAGTGTTTCCTATCTTTCAGAATACTAATGATAATTCCTTCTATGAGAATTTCTTCTCTCTAGTTTGTTCCAAAACACCTTTTATCCTTTGGTTTATTTTGGTCTCTACCTTTGCTGCTAGAGAATCTTTTCAAAGATCTGGTAAAGTTTGAGTGTCAGTTTATGTTTAATACAAACAATAAGCACAGTGCAAAGAAGTTTGTAACTGGAAGCTTTGTGTGACTGAGTGGTACTTATATACTAGTTGGTTGCGTTATTCTCAACATTTTGTTGGTTGATTTCTATCAGTGCTTTCCGGTATTTACTTGACTGTTATTCAGATTCCTCAGACAAGAATCTTGAACAGTAGAACTAATCAAATGTTAAAGGGGGAACTGGAAGAATATAGATTTCAACTTATTTTCCTGGTTTTTCACCCTCTGTTCTTCCTGATATTTCCAGAAATTTATTTTTTCCCACCAGTGATGAGAAAGGACTCCAAGGGTATAATTTTTTCTTAACCAAACTTCCCATAAAGCTACCTATTGATAGCCCCATATTATCTTCTACTCTTTGAGGTTTCTGGTAAGCACATGTCTGAGCCTGTTTCTGGCAGTGCAGCTCTGCTTTCCTGGCTTCACTTGAAGTCCAGCTTCTTGAGTGTGCCATGTCACTCACCACACTCCTTCATCTCTTTCAATAAACTTCATTGCTATCATCTCCACTCTTCCAGTTTGTGTCCTATGGGGCTGTGACTCTGCCCAATTTGCCACCTTCCAGCCCCGGCTTACTAGGTAGACTTGTTTATATTGCCTCAAGAATGTCCAGGAGAGGCTGTCCATGCCTGGACAAAGCAGCCACACATCCAACCATTTCTACAAGTAAGAAAAAGGAAACGAGACCTCTGCCTGTTACGATGCTCTGGGAGGTGGTTAATGTCATCACCGAAAGATCTCCTTTTGTTTTGACTTCTTTTTATGGATGTCTTCTTTTTTCAACATTATATCAAATTCACAAAATATTTCTTAAAACAGTCTCAATGAGATTTCTCTTGATATAATCTGTATCCTGATAATCTCCTTAACCTCCAACTCACTAGACATACCTGTGCTCCCCCCTTTCTCCTTTATTCCTAACCCCACAATCTACTCATGTGAAGGATTGTCTGAACTGCTCCAGTGCTGGGAAATCATAAAGCATTGAAAGAGCCAAGAACTCTGGAGATCGTCTAAGAGAGCATTTCTCAAGTAAATTTCTTCAAAGGAATGAAATTTTTAAAAAAGGGTTTATGGCCATGTAAATTTTAGGGAGCCCATTGATATAAATAACAAGGCTTCTATACTATTTGATTTCTTGAAATAGTCAATGTGTTCATATGCTTTCTAAATTTTTAAAGAAGAATCTTTAAAATACACTTTCACCAAACACAATGTATTCTACTGTTTCTTTCCTTTCAAAGCCTAAACCCATCATGTTTCACCACTGGTATTTGTTGAGTAAGTGCATATCTATTGTCTGTTCTATGAAAAAAAATCTACTGAGTACCTTGTATCTCTTACATTACACTAATAAGATCATTACTCACGTAAGGCAAGTAAAGAGAAAGGGAAATATGTCTCATAAGTCTATTAAAGAGCCTTATATGGTTGAGAGGAGCACATAGGAGACCAAGTTGATACAATATCCCTGTTTTCTTGATAAGTCTCCAAATGAAAAATTATGAATTAAAAGTGGTTGCCATGATATTAAGGGATGCTGTGCAGAATTAGGGATGTGATAACTGAAGAACCATGGGAGGGAACTTCTCTGTACCAGAAAAAAGCACTTCTCTGGATGAAGAACAAGAAGGCATAGTATTCTTAACAGTCAAGGATAGACCTAGCCTCATTTAATATCTTTACATATGAATTTGAGGAGGAAAGTTGGAGATGTTATCCACACATATAGATGACAATAAACTCAGGTTGTGAAATTCCAAACTATTGGGGATAGTTGTGGAGACTTCTTTTGAGACTATTGATAAATGCATTCATTTAGGATAACAGACAAGATACCACCAACTTCACATATGAGGTCAACGATGTTCCATTTAATGGATAGGGCACAAGACCTAACAGGGAACATCAGCGCAGGGACTCTCCCTCATAAGAAATTCTAGAAGTCATGGTAGATTATAGTTTTATGGTGGTATGACCAAAATCCCCGTGAAAACTTTGCATTCATCAGTAAATATGTTGAAACCAGAGAGACAAAGATGTCTCACCAGAGTACCACCAAGACTATGAGCCCAAGTAATGTTAAAGTACAAACATACCTGTTTATAGTACAGAAAAAATAAATACATGAAAAAATATTCCGCATCTCCGGTCATTAGAGAAATACAAATTAAAATAACACTGAGATTCTACTTTACTTGAGAAACAATAGCTATCATAAAAAATCTAATGACAACAAATGGTGGTGAGGCTGTGAGGAAAAATGAACTAGTACAACTCCTATGGAAATCAATATGGAGATTCCCAAAAAACTAAAACTAGAAATTACATTCAGTCCAGCTATTTTCCTTTTAGATATCTTCCCAAAGGAGTTAAAAACATCATTTTACAGTGACACATACATACTCATGTTTATAGCAGTACAAATTACAATATCTACATCTTAGAAACAATCTATATGTCCAACAGATGACTGGATAAAAAAGTGCCGTACTTACACACAATGGAACTCTACTGTGCTGTAAAGATAAACTGGAGTCATCTGTAAGAAAATGGGTGCACCTTGAGACCATAATGTTAAGTGAAATAAACCAGACACACTATCTTACATATCACCTGTTCTTTCTTATATGAGAAACTCATAAGGAAAGAGAAAAATAGCATATACAGGATAGGAAAAAGGCATAAAAAGATTTTTCAATTGTGATGTGATAGAAGGAGCTGGGAAGGAGAAAAAGGGAAGAAAAAGAAGAATTGAGACATGTTAAGAAAGTGTGCCAGTTCCCCATGGTGAATATAGTCATTACGTACTGCAAATACGTACTAATAAAATTTTTAAAAATTGAGGAAAAGACAGATAAGACCTATAAGAGCAAAATCAGAGTTCATTTTTATAGAATATATAAAGTTTATTATTTGATTTAGGTATATGTTGGCAAACAGACATAGCTACAAGTAAATGAGTCAAAATGGAAAATAGAAGAGGTTTGAGCCAATCAGACAAATGCAAAATGAGAAGAAAGTTCAACAGGAAATGTCAGCAACAGAGAATTGCACATGGCCATGGCGTATTCAGAGAAGCATGCAGTAAGCCCTAAAGAGTTTGAGCTAAAGAATCGAGATGCTAGACGTGGGAGTATTTTTTTAATGTGGAATTCTAATCCTACACAAGCAGACACTAATGTGGAAGTATCCAAGTTTGAGAAGCATTCTGAGCCTTAACACTTAATTTCTAGAACTGGAAAGTAAAGTCAAATCAAGTACATCAAATTCCCAAGAGTCACTCATATTAGTTTCTCCTCTTTTACAGATTGCTAAATAGGACTATGTCAGTTACACGGGATACAGGAAGACATAACACTTAATCCTCAGTGGTCTGTGACTTTATGACTGATTCTTCCATTTGTTGGCTTTCTATGACTTCTGTGACAAACTTGCCTCCAGGAAATGTAGTGATTCTTTGTCATTGTAGCAGTTTATTAGACAGAGAACCTTTTTGATGAGATAGGTTTTTTTTATTTTTGTGGTGCATGGGATTCAACTCAGGGCCTGTGCTTATGAATGCTACGCAGGCAGAGTACCCCTGAGCTCTGCTCTGTCCCTGATATGGGTTCATCATGAAGCCATTCTAAAAATGTGTGATTATAATACAATTAAATCTTCCAATGTAATTAAAGAGATGATAAAAGAATAGACAGGTTGTGTTCCTTGATAAGTTAAATTGAAACATATAAAAATTCTAATATTCAACCATAAAGGCAGTGTCATATGCATCAGACTATTAAATTATATGTTAATTGGATGAATGGATTTTTCCCTCATGATAAATATATAAAAAGTGTCTATAAGAATATGGAAATATGTATCCTATAAATGCCAAGTAACACAAGCAATGTATAAATTTTTATACGCAAAACATGAATATACATTTTATAAGAAACTAATTGTACACGGAATCCTAGAAGGAAAAGAATTACACTTGGGTTGTGAACATATTGAACAGCTTCAGTATTATGTGTCATCAATCTGGTATCCGATAATGATCATCTCCTAGGACACAGTGGACATCACAGATGAATGGCTAATGAATGAGGAGTTCTGCTTAACACTGGAGCTGCTCTGGAAAACTTTTACTTCAAATATAATGGACTAATATTGTCATTTGTTTCATTTAAGGTGTACTGTTTCAGATTTTGATCATTTCCTCATTTTTATATGGATCTTTGAAAATGACAGTATCTCAAATTTTATGTAATTTTGAAACATCGTCTTTCTAGATAGACCTAAATTCCAGAGATTAATTACAGCAGCAAAGGATATGAGTACAGTGTTTTTAAAAAACATATATCATGATTCATTTTATTTTTGTCTCAATTGCTTGTGAGTTGACAGCAGTGAAGTTTTTCCATTCTATTACATTATACCTATATACGTATACAGACTTATATATGTACATGTACACATGTATATAAGTATAAAGTGAACACAAAATAGCAACTCTGTGTTCAAGGAATAAGAAATCCTGAATATGAGATTCAGGATATTAGTTACCCTGAGTGATGTATTCCTGTGTTGATGAGGTTCCATAAGCTTTTATAGCTGCAGAATAAATAAGGTGACAAATCAATACACTCAACAAATGCATTGGTGAGGGCATTATGCAGGCAACATACAGTCAAGTAAGGAAATATTTCTATAGTTTTCAGAAGTTGTCTTATGATATGCTTAAAGGGTTTATAGAGGCTGCAGACTGAGCAAACCTATTTATATATTCTGAGAGATTTACCTAATACTCATGAGAATGTTAGGTAAGATACAAAGCTTAGAAGTAAATGCCTATTTTCTTAAAGACTTCTAGGTATCACAAGATAATTTTGGCTTTCCATGAGCAACATTCATTCTCTCCATAATCATGATGTTTTGCTTGGCCAAGGCCAAATAATTTGTAGGTTTTTAATGTAGAAATGACTTTTTTAGAGAATTCCTGTTCTTCCCTGTGAATGTGTGTGCATATGTGTTTACATACATTATTTTCCTTTTCTTTTATTTCCTTGTCTTCCAGGTCTACCAAAAGCTGCAGTGATTAGTCAGCTGCAGGTTTTGAAAGGCTCTGCTGGCCTGTGGGCTTTTGGTTGTACTGCTGATGACATTGTTTATATAACCCTTCCTCTGTATCACAGCTCAGCTGCTCTCCTTGGAATTGGTGGATGTGTTGCATTGGGTAAGTGCTGACTTTATTTTTGATAAGTTTTCACAGCGCCTAATCATTAGACTTTGAGTTCATTAATCTATTCATAGAATTCAGAGTGATTTTTGTGCATACTATAAAATTATACATAATATTTATTGAAAGAATACATTTTCATGATACAGTGTATTGCCGAAACAGAAAGATCAAAGTTCTGGGAATTCAGCCACATGGTTGGGTCTGGTTTTTGACTGAGCTGCTTTCTCCTTGTGTTTGTTCATGCTCTAATTGTCTTCTCTCTAATTCTTTAAATGGTTGTAGGAGTGTTTCAAAGTGGTAAAAGTGTAAGCTGTTTATAAGTTTTTAAAATCATATAGATTGTTTCATTTATATTCTACTGACCAAAGCAAGTCATGCTCAGCTCAGATTCAAGAGTCAGGGAGTTGGAAAATAGACTCCTACCTGTTTAAGGGAGGAGAGGAAAATTCACATTATAAAGGTGAGCACAGTGAAGGAATGGTACCCAAGAAGTCAGTTGGTAAAGCTCATGACTCTAGTTTCTATTCACAAACATGCGAGATTTTTAGAACGAGGTCTATAACCACAATGTGGATATATGCATATGACAGACATCATCAAACTTGGGTTGCTGGAGGTAGACTATGATGACAGCTGAGTAGGATCCCTACAGGCACATCAAGTTTCACAAGAGCCAAGGAAATCAGATGACAAACTCATAATACTGGATTTTTAGTTTAATAAAAGGCAATGATGTGTTAGAGAGGGCCGAGGAAGGAAAGAGGTGCCCGTGTCACCCTTTCCCCAGATCCAAAGAGCTCAGCATGAAGAGAGATGATATCTGTTTAGGGAGGAGAGAGGGACTGAACCCAGGTGTTAGACTTGATACCTACCACCATGACTTTCTCAATGAAGCCTTTCAGAGACCCAGAATGCTAATGCCAAGCCAATGGCTACCCAATAAGCCACCAGAACTGTGTGAAGTCAGGTGGATGACTGCCTTCACCATCCCTTTACTAACCTTTAAATATAGTTGGAAGCAAGCTGCCACCCATTGGGTAGCAGGGCACCAAAGCATGAAGCTCAGTGTCAGGCCCACTGCAGTGAGACCTAGCACCAGGGAAAAAACAAAGACACAGTATGCAGGTCAGGGCTCAGAGACAGAGGATTTAGATCCATGCCTGGCATTAGGTAGAGACCTTCATGCATGTTGGTCAGACTTGAGTTTGGTATGCATCATTTCTCATCCTTTAGTAGGTCTAGGGTGCACCTTCGCTCACTGAGACTGTGCAGATCTCTGTATTAGTGTGATTCTAGGGGGGTCCAGCTTAGTGTCAATTTTGGTAGTCAAGAAATGGTCTTCACTATCCATCCTCCAACCTCAGGTAGAACAGCTGTCACCAGGCCACTGTCCACAGATGGGACTGTAAAACTTCCCTGACATCAGACATAGACCTATGTTCCCATGGGACAGAGTCATGATTAAGCTTGGATAGCTCCCAGTTCTGGGATGGGTCTTGGTGTACCACCAAGACCGCAAGTCCTGGCAGCTGAGACTTGGGCACAATCCAGTTTAGTATCAAACCAAGGTAGCCAAAGGAATTGGCTTCACTAAAACTACTCCAAGATTGAGCAGCATAGCTTGTAGCAATACCCATTTGCTAGGGTAGGATAGGATTATAAGCTCAGGACTTTTCCCTGAAACTTAGTGCTGGGCTATTGAAATGTAATGCTGGCCAGATCCTAACAGCTCATTTCCTCAGGCAAGCCTGAAGGCAGAGTACCAGGAACAGACCTGATCTCAGTTTATTGAATTTCTCTTCCAATCACCACCACCCATGGCTGATTGTGGAAGTTATGGTCTATGAGTTCACCCCAGCAATGGACAGCCCATAGTAAGACAGAGCTGGTCTTTTCTCAGTACTTCACTGGTCATAGTGAGCTGTGGGCTCAGAGTACAGAGCAGCGTGGTGACACAATGGCCACAGGCATGGCATAGGAGCCTGGGACTGATTCATCCCAGCAATTCTACTCAGAGATAAGCGGAATCCTCCAGTGACTGACTTAGAATGACTAATCTTACCCTGGATCTAGATAGAAGCTTGTGTATATAGTCTACATGTCTAACTATTCCCCTGGTTTTTTTCCTGAACAACACACAACTGTGAATTTAGAGCAAATCTGGGCTTGAATCACCCTCTAGTGTTGAATAGTGGTCTCTATCAATAGCAATTTCCTGGCTAACTCGGACCTGAAAGCCATCCGGTGATGAAATAATTGAATTGAGTACAGAATCGGAGAAAATGAATAGTCTTCTTAGAATTTCGGAAAGACAAGAGGAAACAATGCCAAATTAGGAAGTCTGGAATAAACACCTCTCTAGTGCCCAGATGATGTGGCATACCTGTGAGGATTAAGAACCTTCAAGAAACCATAACTTCACCTAACAATAGAAATAAACTGCCAAAAACTGACCATTCATCGTCAATAATCAATATGGGAGAACTTTCACAGAATTTTTTTTTTTTTTGTCTTTTTCATTTCTATCGGTACCAGGGATCAAACTCACAACTGTCTGCTTGCAATGCAGGTGCTTAGGCCGCTGAGCTAAATCCCCAGCCCCAGAATGTTCACAGAATTTAATGTCATTTACTAAGAAAATTTGGTGAACCTAAAGACAATTTAGAAACAATGGAACTTAAAGAAATGCAAGCAATTTTTAAAATTAAACGTCTGAGTTAAAAAAAAAGCACACCAGTGAATTTAAAAACCTTGTAAAGTCCACTCACAGTAGAATGGATAAAAGAGAAGCAAGACTTGGTGATGTCAAACACGATCTATTAAAAATACACAGAAGAGAAAAAGGTAAAAGACTGAAGGAAACCTACAGGAAGTTGGTAACAGTAATAAAAGACAAGTATTCAGGTTAGTGAACCAAAAGGTTAGCAAGCTTATTCAGGCTGATAATAGCAGCAAACTTCCCAGCCCTGGAGGAGGCAGATATCCAAGTACAGTAAAGCCAGAGGCAAAGGAAAATCATGTCTACTGCGAGGCAACTTACAATGAAACCTTCAAAGATTAAAGAGAAGAAACTCAAGGCTTCCGTGAAAAAGAAAGAAAAATGCTTCAGGATATTTGAGATATCTTATACCTTGAGATAATGATGTCTGAATTCACCTGAAAGCAGGCTTCTGGGAGAAAGTCTGCCAACTAGGAGACAGTGGCGTAATATTTTCATAAAATTCCATGAAAATTTGTCATCGAGGAGTACTGTGCCCATTGAGAAATGAAGAAATAATAAAGACATTGTCAGGCAAGCAAAACTAAAAGAATGCCTTTAAACAGATTCGTTCAACAAAAGTTACTAACAGTCTTTTAAACTACAAGCAAGAAATATTACTTAGAAGAAAACATGGGAAGCCATAAAACTCACTGCTGACAAAAAATATACAAATAAATTCAGAATGTACTAATATAAACCTGGTACAAAATTCATTCATATCTTTAGTATGAAGATTAAAAATCAAAACAATAAAATAATACTAATGATAATATATTAAGACAGAAGGCAGAAAGATATAAATGATATATTAAAAACTTACAGTGTAGGAAAGAATGGAGCACAGGTAGAGAGTTTTCCTCTCAGCATATTTTCTCTCGTTCTATTTTGTTTCTCTTCTTATGTTTATGGTTGTGTTATCTTGCTGCATTTGAAAATACTTTATTATCATCAAAAGATGTTTTTTGTAGTTTTCATGTAACCATAAGGCAAAAATGTATAACAGAAAATCCAAAATAATAAGCAATAAATCAAAGCAAAGCACATCAGCTGAGTAAATCACTTAACTATAAAACTAGACTATAAGAGAGTGAGAAAAAATGAATACTATAAAGATAGAAAAAAATAGTGCTGTAGTAAATCTGTAGCTATGGATAATTGCTTTGACTATAATTGAACTAAACAATGTAGAGAGATTGAACAGATAAGTAAATAAGATCCCACATATGTTGCTTACCAAAATATCACTTCACCTCTAAAGGCATGCCTAGAGTAAAAAGGAAGAAATAGAAAATGATATTCCATTCAGTTAGAATCTAAAAGAATAGCCAGATTTAACATTACATAACAGATATTTTTACAAGTAACAAGAAATGTCATTATGTAATGACACAAGGGTCAATTCAGCAGTATATATATATATATATATATATATATATATATTATATATATATATATATATTCCGAGAATGCATATATATTACCCAGTAAGATAAAGCAAATATTGATCAATATAGAAGGAATGATAGATTGCAATGCAATAGTATTCAGAGATTTTAATATTTCACTTTCATATGGACAAATCACATAGAAATTTAATAAAGACACAGTAGATATATATAAACCCATGGAACAAAATAGAAAACCTACAAATAAACCTACGAAGAAACCCACAAGTCTATGCATAAGCACATAGAACAGTGACAGCACATAGACAATGTAGAGAGCATACGTGTAAACCCACATATCTAGACACCTTTGACAAAGTTGCTAAGAACATACTGGGTGTAGGAAAAGGTCAATGTTTTCACTAAGCTGGGAGTATTGGATATCCACATGCAGAAGAATGAAATTAGATCCCTGCCCCTTACCAGTTATAAAAATCAACACAAAGTGAATCAAAGGCTTAAAAGTAAGACCTGAACCACAAAACAACTAGAAGAAAACATAGGAAAAATGCTTCATGACATTGGAATGGGCACAGAGTTTTGGAACAACTCCAACACATGGAAAATGAAAGCAAAAATAGGTAAATAGAACTATGTCAACCTACAAAGCTTCTGCATTGCAAAGGAAGCAATAGATAGAATGAAGAGACAACCTACAGAGTAGGAAAAGAAATTTGCAAACTGGGGGTGGGGATTTAGCTCAGCGGCATAAGTGCCTGCCTTGCAAGCAGGCAGTCATGAGTTCGATCCCCAGTACCTACAAAAAAAAAAAAAAGAAAGAAAAAGAAATTTGCAAACTATAAATCTAATAGGGAGTTCAAATCTAGAACATATAAAGAATTTCCAAACTCAGTAGCCACAAAAGAAAAGAATACGATTAAAAATGGGCAATAGATCTAAATGCATATTTCTTAACACATGATATATAGCTGTTCAATGGGTGTGTGAAGAAATGTTCAGTCTCATTAGTCATCAGGGAACTGATGAAATTGAAATTAGGTTCTGTAGTTATTGATGAACTTTTTTGTTGGTACTATCTTACTTGCCTTATTAAATCTTAACCTCAAAATATATAGAGGCTGCTTTAAGCTTTTAAAAATAAATACTATATATATATGGTCATGCTCTAAGACTTCTAATTTTTATACTTATTTTGACTATTACTTTAATCCCCCACATTGTGAAAAGTATGTTTCCAGTGAAGATACATAACTTCAACATGAATATTTTAAAGTTACCAGACCATATAATCAATGTATTCAAATATGCTTAATATAAATAATGGACGATGACTTCTAAAAGTGTGGTAAGTAAGCAGCATGTTTAGATAGAGCCACCCCATCTCTTTTATGTTAATTCTGTCCTTGAAGTTTTTCTCTAGCGCCTCTTTTTATCTTCTTTCCTAGGTGCCACTTGTGTGATAAAGAAGAAATTCTCAGCAAGCCAATTTTGGAATGATTGCAAGAAATATAATGTGACTGTGTTCCAGTATATTGGAGAACTTTGTCGCTACCTTTGCAAACAACCTAAGGTAAGACTGACCATGACCAACAAACTAAAATGCTTCAGAAAGAGCAGGCATTGAGTGAGCACAAGCAATGTTTACCTCTTTGTTTATGCATCACATGCTTCCAGAATGTAAATTAGCTGAGATAGAAAGATGCTTACAATCCACTAAAGTAAAATAAATGTAAAAGTCAGAAACAAATAAAAGGAAAGCCATCCAAGAAAGAACTAATGTGCTTTATATTGTCCCAGGATGGGACAGAGCCATAAACTAATTTTAATTAGTTTATGCTAATTAAAATCTAATTAGTTTAGGCTAATTAAAATTGTATTAGATGTGTGCTATGTTTACAGAAATCAGTTATTCCAAGTTTAAACCAGATGGTCCTTGAAAATACTGCTCTTTAAAGTAAAATTAAAGGCCTGGCTATATTTGTTTTTCTATATTTTTCTTTTGAGTATTATAACATATTTTTGCTTTTTTTTTTACTTTAAAAAGAAAATTTTTGGACTTGTTTCCCCACAGAAAGCAGTCATTTTCACAGTCCTTTAATCAGCTGCAACCATCTGAAAAACATACAACAAGAAAGAATTACTAGAGTCTGAAATTTGTCCTTATTGCTTGCATTTTTGTTCTCAATGTTATTTTTCTTCTTCTGATCTCATTTGTCTTTCCTTGTGCTTATTCTTTTAATGCTCTGATTTTCCAAACATCCTTGAAACTAGGAAGAAGTGGCTCTTTAATCAAATCAGCACCAGCCCCATCAACGATGGCGGTTCAGGATGCCTTCCCAAGCAGGGCAGGCAGCAGAGCCTTGGTCTCCGGGCCTTGCCTCTCTAGTCTTGGGACTCAGGGAGGGGGTCTTTTCCTCCTCACCTTTGTCACACCCGCTGAAGACATGATGATGAGCTGTCCTATCTTTCCTTGCTTCCTCTGTTTAAAATATAGACAGATTATTTAATCCACTAATTACCCATAGCATAGCCAAGATGAGGCAAGAAGCATTAAAATAAGGCTCTATTAAGGAATATGAGATGACACAGAGGAGATGAACAGAAAAAAGTGTGAAATTGAATGATGTGGTTCACAGAATGTTTTTATTCACTTTGAGCTTGAGAGGTTACCTTGGAAAGAACGCTGTTCCACCTCTCCACCTCCTCCTCTGAGCAGAAACCATCCTGAACCACTTTGTCAGGTGCATTTCAAATCATGATAGCTTCCATAGATCTGTAGTAAGTCATAAAAGTCCAGAGAAATGCTATCCTTTCAAATATTGGGGATGAAACTTGAATTCCTTGGACTGCTCAATATTTTATTTCAACAAAGAGCATCTAAAGTATCTCTTTTTTGTCTTTTTCCTTTTTATCGGTACCAGGGATTGAACTCACGACTGCCTGCTTGCAAGGCAGGCGCTTATGCCACTGAGCTAAATCCCCAGCCCCCTAAAGTATTTTTTTAAACTGGGAAATGATTGTAATGGTTTTATAGACTAGAAACAAACAATTTTTTCTGTTTAGTTTACTGATCAGATAAAATACCGTTTAGCTGTTTTGTTCTTTTAAAATATTTCTTCTGAGGCCAGGTATTTAGCTCAGTGGCATAAGTGCCTGCCTAGCAAGCCTGAGGTTGTGAGTTTGATCCTGGCACCAAAAAAAAAAAAAAAAAAAATTTCTTCTGAGTCTTTTTTAAAAATGTCTGTTTGAATTCTTACTTCATACAATAAAGTTAGTAGTGGTATGTCATATTGGCTATAAACTTTTTCTCGGTGCTTTCCTTTCTGTTCTTTGTAAAATGAAATATCTTACAGTCTTGTGAATTTGTATTGCAGTATTTTAAGAAAATATTACACTTACAGAGAATTTAAGAGCCCCAAGAATTGAAAATAGTATCTCTGTTTTATGATTAATTTAAGTTTAATTTCTAATTTTAATTCTTACTGAATGGTTTTGAAGAAAAGATGATTTTACCAAATAATCTCTAACTGTTTACCTGAATCTAAATTGAGGAGTCAGAAGGGAAATAAATCTAGCTTGTCCATAGAAAACTCGTAGGCAATTTTTTAGCAACTTCTTAGGCAGCAGTGTGTTAGATTGTCTAGCGTTTTGTTGATTTTACATAAAATAATGTAAGAAGTTCTTGGCATTAAAGATTATAAGACAATAATTTTTTATGACCTAATCCAGGCAAGAAACTGTGCTTTTCACTACCCAATATCACTTTCAATGACCTTGCTTTAAAGAAAGGGACTGTGGGTTCCACAGCTGGCTCAACAGTGGATTCAGGTAGGGCCAGAACAAATTCCGCAGTCCTTTCCTTCAAAGAATTAAAATTGAGTGTCTCATAATTCATGAATTGAAGCCTCATGCACATTTATTCTAAAGAAATATTTAATGTAAAAGAAATGAAAAACATGTGTTTTCTAAGTACACCTCGATTTGTAGTCACTCTGAGGGTAAGAAGTATATTTCAAAGATTTCCCAGCAGCCCAGCATTTGTATATAGTTGCTTAAACACTCTCTAATGTTGGGTTTCCTCATCTGGAAGTGCCTGTGCACCCTCCATTCCCATCTCCTCCGACTCAAACCTTTCTCATGAAAAGTTGACTCTCATGAAAACTAAGTTTCTTTGGAAAAAACATCGAAGTGCCTCTTTTAGATGACTGGTAGCAGCAGCAATAGTTTTGAGAAAGCCAGAGAGAGGGACTCTTGTTGGTCACAGACGACAGGTTGATTGTCCTTTCTGAGTCTAGGACGCATCTCCTTTTCACAATTTACACATTTTCTGCATCACTGAAGCACCAGCATGTAATTCCTGATCGCATCATCTTATTATTATTGCTGCCTTTAACATTTATGAGTGAGGAAACTGAGGAGAGTCTACATCCCCACTATCCTCTGGGGACATCTTGTTGGAGTTATCTTATGTCTTTAACTATGCCAAATGCAACTGTCTTGCAGAAGTGGCATATGTTTGGATACACATATGCAACCATTCCTTCCTCCAAGCAGTAATATGCAGGTTTGGGTATAACGGGACTTATAAGACAAATCAGACGTATTTCTCACACATATTATATTCTATGAGAGAAGACAGGTGAGGGTGTGGATGGGGAGAGAAAGTAAGCCCGTAGAATACATGACAAAAAGTAACCAGACAGTGACAGGTGTCAAGAGCAAAGCACTGAACGAGATGGTGGATAATGATGGGCACTGGAACAGAACATGGCTGATCAGACTGAGTGAAATGGTGACTTGTAAACTGAGTACCTGATATGATAAATGCAACCAGGCACAGGACAGCGGGGGGAGGGCTAAGTCACAAAGAATAAACTGGAGCTACAGGGGACACAGTCTGACTGAAAAAGAAGCAGTGAGGCTGAGCTGTCTGTGCACCGCATCTTGAAGGGCTTAGGTCTTGATAGTCATTGGAGGAGAAATTTGGATGATATTCACCTCAGAGCATTTGATCACAGATGAGGGAAGAAGTGGTACCACTTAGGGATCTATTATAAAGGAAATCCAATAAAACTCATTAGATCGAGAATCCGAAGTGAAGGAATGCCACAGAAAAGGATGAGATCCAGGATTTTCATGTACGCATTTAGCTAAATTGAGAACCGTATGCTATTCAGAAAGACTGAGATTTGAGGAATGAAAATTCAGTTCCATTTGAACTGGTTAAACCTGATATGTTACTTTGGTTCCAGATGAAGAAATAAAGTACACAGCTGAATGTAGGAATCTGAAATGTAAATCGTATAGAAACATCATTTAATTAACACAGCAAGTGCTGTGATGGCTACTGTGGCCCATATCCATGCTCAGCATCATTGTCTACGAATCCCAGACCTGCAAGCAAAGCTCAACTGTAATCAGAGTTGGGATTCTGCGGTAGGACAGAGTACAATAGGACATTTGTATACAACAGAAGTTTTATCAGTGGCCACAGGAAATCAGCTCCTTGATGTATCCAGCTCACAGTGGAGACTCCTGCTAAACAGCCTCTGTGCTTATCAGCACTTTCCAGGGATGAACTCTTGTAATTATGGTGCAAGTGACCCATTTTCTGGGTTTCCAGAGAAGATTAACTTCCTTTCACATCTACATACCCTTTTCTTAGGTGAGTTAGCGCAGTCATTGGGCTTCATGGAAACACTTGCAGATTCTTGGAGTTATTCCTGATGCGTCCCTGTCAGAAACACTTGAGGCTTTCCCCACACTATGCTGCAGAAAAGAAAGCCACAGTCAAAACTAGCATTCTATAAATGGCAATGCTTCTTGGTATTACACTTGAAAAACCAGGAGTTTAAATATAAACCCATGATGTGGTCTTTTATGTCCCTAACACTTGATATGACAAAGATCTTTTCAGACCAGTATGTTTGTGGCAATGTGATTCATTGAACTGATGACTGTTATCCTTTGAAAACATAGCTTGCCTAAGCCAGGTCAGAGAGAAACTATGAAGAGACCATTGGGACAGTAATAGCCCATTTTAACTGGGAAATCCTGCCCCCTCTAAATACTCATGAACCTGTTTTTATTTTTAAGGGCTCCTTTCATTTCTTTCTGTGAAATATTTCTTGCTTAGAAACAAGAAAGTCCTTGTTTATATATATATATATATACTTTTTTCTGCCCCAAGATTCATTTGACATTGTTTGCATTTATGATCCTTAATCGTTATATGTGCTCTGTGGTACTCAATTAATTTGTTGCCTACACTGTTTCACTGAGTAGAAAAAAAGCAAGAAAACTGACTCTTGCAAATGCATGATGGATGGTTGTTTCATGGATGTGTTGGTATGATTCTCATGTATTCAGAATTATCGGTAGGCTTTAGTAAAAAGCATTCTTATATAAATAGAATTGAAATGGAAGGATCATAATCCTTAATGTATAATTTAAGAATGAAACCATATTTTTGTTTATAAAACTTCTTACCCAGAGCTGCAGACAGAATGCTTTGCTCATTTACTTTTATTATGAATTTATGTTTCTTTTCTGTCTCTCCATCTATCTATG